ATGTTCTTAGCAAGATTCGAACCCATGACCTCTTATGTTAATATATTGCTTAATTATCATTAGTTCACATCTTAATTTATATTAATTAATGACTCTTTATTCTACACATTACTTTGTTACTCATGTATTTTAAAAAAATGTAAATTAAGCAACTTCAACTCTAATCATTTGCTTTAAAAATTAAGAATACATCATATTATATTTAAGTATATTAAAAATTGTAAAATATATTATATATAATATTTATATGACCTATAGCATATATATGTATATGCCACATCATCACAATTCTACCCTAATTGAACTTCTATCCCATAAACTTCTCTCCTCTCCGGTTCTATGCCCCATTTAGTTCTTTGAACACTGGTAGAATGTTCATGAGTCGAGCCCTAAGCCTGGTCCATGAATATCTTTATTGGGGATCTATCAATTTTCTCGTTAATGTGGCACTTCATAATTAGTTGAGAGTGTTGGAATAACACTTATTCTCATACTTGTGGTAGCACATTAGATATCTTTTTGTCCCAAACCCTAGCATGTTCAAATTTGGTATAGAACCTAGGAGTATCCGTCTAGGAGCTTTCACATCGTTGCTTTTGGCTTTGTTACGTCGAGTCATCAAGCCATCCAAAAAACCTATATAAAATAAAAGTTAATGTTTTGGTAAATAGGTTATTCCATCATGTATGTATCAAAATATTAGATTCAGATAGAGATGGCAATGGGGCAGGTTCAAAGAGATAGGGATGGCAACGAGGCAGGTTCAGGGAGGGTTTTGTAAACTTAAGATCTTCCCTGCTTCCACAAGCCTCCCAACTGGTACCCTGCACAAAACTTATAGAAAGTTGGATTTTCAAAATCTAAACCCTCCTAATGAAGTTTAGAAAGGCAAATTTTGTATTCTAAATTAAAATGAAAGATACCCTAATAAGTTGTAAGGGTAATTTTGTAACTTTGAAGTTTTCATTACTAAAACAAAGATGGATGGGAGTTAACTAAGGATTTTTATTAATTGTAGGGAGGTTTTTATGAAAGTAAAACCTTAGGGGACGTTTTTATAATTGTCAAAAACTTTGGATTAGGTTTTTATATTTTATCCTTTTTTTATAAATGGCTACTATTGAAGATTAATACCCTTTTTAGAGATGTCTTGACTCAATTATTGAAACTTGAAAAATTTTTAGCGCCCCTTTGAATCACACTATGCAGAAAAAAAAAAGTGTATTGCACATATTAATTTGAGTAATCCAAAAATGAATAGATAAAGAAAGCCAAAACTCAAATTGACTAACATGCAGGGTGGCAAATGAGTCAGTGACTCAATATGGGTGGATTACAACTCAACCCACACCCAACCCAACCCAATTCGCCCATTTGTCACCCTTTTTCCATTGTCATTGGTTCCACGATCCGTTACGCAACCATTATGTTCAACTAACTATTGCATCATTGCATGCAAAGACGGGAATACAATTTTGCCAAAGCAAGTGAAATGCCCAATAAGTGGCATATCATATTGTATCTTTTAAATTCTAATATAAGATGTGATGGAAAATCGACGGTATCATAGTGTATCAGTCAATACGCTACGAAAAAGATACAAGCAAAAATGAAAAATAAAATAAAATAAAAAAGGAAAGAAGCATTCTTTTACCNCCCCCCAAATGACTATAAGAAAAACAAAAATGCAAAAAAAAAAAACGTGTGAATCATCAATGTTTTTAAAGTTTTTTTTTTTAAGTTTTGAAAATATTACAAAGATAGATAACGTTTTTAATTTTCACAATATCTTGTGATTTTTTTTTTTGCTTGAATTCTTGAAAATATTTAAAATCTATGTTGATCTATATTTCTTATGTTCAAAATCACTTTTTTATGTGTTATGAGTAGATTTATGAAAATTTTATGAAGAGATTTGAGAAAAATATAAAATAACAAAAAACTGAAAACATATTTTTTTATTTGCCTATAAAGATTAAGTATGTTTTAGATCTATGGATTATCCATTGTATCCATAGAGCAATTGCAATTTCTTCTTCAATTTTTTTGATTTTTTTATACTTTTAGAATTAAAAGTAAATAAATTAATCATATTTTATGATGCAATCACAACGATTGAATATATTATAGATCTATGGATGATTTATCATATCCACAATTGAAATTTCTTCTTCAATACTTATCTTTTTTTAAAACATTATATAATGACTATTTATTTTAAATTTTTTATAATTTTTTAAAATAAAAAATTAAATCAAAATAAATATTAATAATATTTCACTTGAAAGTAGAGGTGTAAATCGGGTCAGGCCACGAGCGGCCCAGGATGATTTTGGACCAGCCCAACACGAAGGCCCACGGGCCATGCCAGGCCCGGAATGGAGGTCTGTGCCGTGTTGGGTCAGGGGTTCGAGGCCCATGGGCTAGCACGGCACGGCACATGTCGTGCCGCCCATAGCCCACATGCCAAAACGGCACAACCCGTGGCACGACCCGCCAGGTCTGTAACGGGCCGCGCTCGGCCCGCTCGGGAATATAGCCATTGCCCCCCCCCCCTAAAGGGGCCCAATGGCTAGTTTCAGCTTTTTGAGGGGTTTTTTTTACAAAAATACCCCCCCAATAGCTATAAATAGCCATATTAGGGGGTACTTATGTATTTTGCTTAAGGGGGTTGAAAAAATGACATAAATGCCCCCCCAACAGTTATATAGCAACTAGTTTAAGGGGACGTTTTGGGTAAAGTTATAAGTAACTTTGCAATGACCAAAATACCCCTCCCAACAACTAAATAGTAGATAGTTTTTTGGGTATTTTGGGCAATTGATTTATGTTCAATTCCTATAAATAACCCATTAGCCCTATCCAGCTATGAGCTCATCACACCAATTCAACAATCAACATTCAACAATTCTCCTATTAAGTTATTACTTATTCTCTTAATATCTTCAGTCTCTCCTCTCTCAGTCTCTTTCAATCTCTCATACATTCTTTGCAATCTGAGTGAACTCTGATAGTCTCATAGTCTGATTGGCTGATTGTCTGATTCTCTAAGTTAACAATTTCGGAGGCTTGGAGCCTTGGACATTGTCTTGTTGAAATCAAGTTGGGAATCTAAACCAACAATCTGGGATTCTAGGGTAAGTCCAATTAAATTAATTTTATTTTTTTAGAATTTGAAAAAAAAAAATGGCCAGCTCTTCCTAAAACCCCAAGTTTAGTAGCCCGATTTGGGGAATATTTAAAATAGAGGATGTTGAGGGGAAGGGGAAAAGAGCAGTTTGCCAAAAATGTAGAAAAGACTTTAGCTATTGTAGCAAGGGTGGTATTGGCCATTTGACCAGACACTTTTTCACACATGAGAAGGAAGAAGAAATAACCCACAGTTTAAATAAAATTTTGAAATAATATTAATGGAAAATAAATTTTAAAAATATTGGGAGAAGTCAGAGTCTCGAAGAACATTTCTTGCCGCTAATCCCGCTGTGGCACGTGATCCGTGATCTACTAACCCCTCTGGTGTCTACAGGTACCACACTACGACACTAACACTATACCAGCCTACCAGGTTTGGCTAGATGCAGTCATGACTCATGAATCATGATGCAGAATATAGATTACAACTTTACAATTACAAAACAAATGAGGGCATGATACTACAGTACTACATACACCAGATATTTGGTTTTTCACCTAAACCAGATGATGAAAGTGTGTGTGAATGCTTTCATCATAATATGTATGTAAATTTTGTTTAAATTGTAAATTTTAACAAATAACCCACAATTTTTTATTTTGTCAAATTATTGTAAATTTTGTTTTAATTTTATTTAATTTATTTGCTATTAATGTAATTTTGTATTTTTAATTTGTAACTATATAGTCTATGTAGTCTATAATTCTATATTTTATTAGTTTATTCCATTTTCATATTTCATTCATCCAACTATCCAAGTATGATGAAGTTTATGAAGTATCCAACCATTGTATATTTCATAATTTCAATATTTGTATAATTATATGCTTTGTAATTTGTATCATTATTCGTTCAAATTTAAATGAAATAAAATTCTTAAATTCCTATTTGAATTGTTTTATACTTTTATTTATTTATTCTTTGGATAATCATAAATTCGTTATTAATTTATTATTCATATCCTGTCCTGAATCTTGATCCAATGATCCTGATATGACAATAATCCATTCAATGAGTCTAGCCCGATTCGGCCCAGGCCCAAGGCCCGCCCTATGACCCAGCCTGACACGACCCAAGCCCACAACATGGCCTGCAGCCCAACCCAACCCAGGCCCGCAGCATGGCACGACACGACACAGGCTCGACTGGGCCCGAGCCATGGGTCGTGTCAGGCCGACCCCAAAATTTCCACCAGGGAAGGCGACATGGAGCGTGACGTCCCGCGGGCCAACACGGCATGGCTCACCTTTAGCGCGGGCCGCCCACAAGCCGTGTCATACTGGCCCGACATGGCCCACTTTACACCTCTACTTGAAAGTTGTACAAATGCATATTTTATGGTTGGATAGGATAGTTGGATTTTTCCATCCCTTAAAACTTAAGCATTATAATTTATAAATCATAGTTAAGCATAGAATTTGTTTAATGAAGTTTTAATTAACTTTGATGTATTTCTTCATAAAATCATTAAAATATATTAATTAAATATATTACACCTTATTAAAGCTTTATTTAGTGTTATTAATGTATTTTTATGATTTATTAAAATATTTATAGTGTTTTTATACATATATGCATATCTTAATTTTTCTCCAATACACATACATATCCAAAACATATCCCGATACATCTCTTAAAATTGCCTATAAACTTGGCATATTGATACTTCGAACCTTTGTAAGTACAGAGCAAATATTATTCAATATTTAAAAACAATTTTTCATTCAAGTGATAAATTTTTTGAGTTAGTTATCTTATAGATTTATAGATAATGTATAAAAGAAGAAAACGAGCATTGCGCACAATGGAGGACAAGGAGCTGTTCCATTTAAATGTCCTAGGATTATTAAAACAAAAGTTACACCCCAAATGCATGTCCTTGACATTTACTTGATTACCCACTCGGATAAATTGTTGTAATCTGCTAACTAAAATTCATCAAAACATTTTCCTGACCTGCATGTTTGGTGTTCCCACATAGGAATAGGCGAATAGCAAGCAACACGTTGACTGACCCGCATGATTAAGCAAACATGTGCAATAGATTACACAGGAAGAATGCTTCCAATATGTTCACACACGCGTGACGTGAGGTTAGCTCCTCTGTAATGTTTTTCGGCTTTCATCTAACAAATTGCGCAACATTTTCTCTACTTTGACCGTCCTTTATCCAAAATTTTCCCATTAATTTTCATCATCTCGATCATGGTCATCAAGCTCATCAACATTAGCAGCTCCATAATCAATCCATGGTAACATCGACTCGAGGAACACAACCAGTGGATTCCGATTCATGACTTCACGCGGAGCATGGGCAGCCCCCCCTATATTGATGATACCATCTCCATTCTGTACAGGTTCCGCCATCCTAGGGTCAATCATTAAGTGCCGCAAGTCCTCCGGTGGCATTGTTGCCACCGTATCAGAGAAATCCGAGACCAACAAATGGGAATACCTATCAGAAAAGATAAACTATCAGAAAGCTGATCACTTATTCAATTAAAAGTTGACTATTGATCGTTTGCAGAAAGGTAGGCACAAGGTGACAAAGCCCAACTATAGTTGGCATCAAGTATAAATATGCCATGGCAGTGTAATCAAAACATCAACGAAGTGTTTTAGGTAAATATATGTACTGAAAATTGCAAACTGCAAAAGGAACAGTCCTTACTCATTTTTTTCAGATGGAAAAGCTTCCTTCCTAACACACGCCCAATCTTTAGCATCACTTCCATTAGAATCCAATGTTTCAATTACCAGTCGAGCAGCATCTCTCAACAATTTTTGCAGGTCTGGGAACCTCCAAATGATATAATTCCTTTCTACATATATATTTATCAGGTGATCCAAGGACGGGCTTCCAGCATGAGCGGATCCAAAGAAAGAATGCTTCAGTATCTTTGTCCAGGCTGGGTCCTTTAATGGTGCCTTGGCCACTAATTTCTTTAGGACCAAAGGGTGAAGCAACAAAGCTTGCTTCATTAGATCAGTTGAAGTAGCCTTTTCAGTCTCCAACAGAGTATTTTTGGAGGAAACCTCATACTCAAGATAAAATCGACAAATGGCAAGGGAATATGAGAAGTTTGGAAAAAGCCATAGGGAGTTACCACTTTGGTAGGCCTCGGAAAACTTTTCCAACCATGCATATTCCTGTGCTCTCAAAGCAAAGTAATCAATGCAGAACATTGCACCCATCGGATCATCAGAATCCAGTGAAAGTAACAATTTGCATACTTCAAGAGCTGATCGATGACAGCCACGCCTGTCCATGTTTTGCATGTGAACAAAAAGAACCGAGAAAAGTGGTCTATTCGTCTCAAGGCTATATTTCAGTTGGCAATTACCTTGCAAGGGATTGAACAGAGGATTCCATGCACACTCCAACGCATATAGACACTTGGCAATAGCATCTGCTGATGATTGATGTTCTCCAGAGAATTTTAACACCTCTGCAATAGTTAAAAGGGACTCTATGTGATAAGGATGATATATCAAGATACTTGCTATGCCATTGAGATCGTGGGTTGCTTTGGCAGCTTCAAATGCTTTTTGAGCTTGGATATAGGAAGACAAATGCACATACCTATATACAAAATTCACCATATTATCAATCTGGCACAAACAATTAACATTTTACAAAGTCAACATTGTTGTTAACCAATAGACCTGGACATTACATGGACAATGCTATTTCATACATAGCTAATATTACTGTGCTTTGAGTCATGATGAGGAAAAAAACAGATGTGTTTCAGTTAAAGAGATGAATAACTGAACTTTGCAATTTACAAATTGTATCAACTAGGATAGTGTAATTTCTCTTTTACATCTAAAGATAAGAGTAAATAGACAGAAATCAACATAGACAATTGTTTTCCACATAGATAGGACATGAAGACACATGATCCATGCGCCACATGGATCCAACACTAAATGATGCATCCACGGACATGGTGACATGCTAAAAGTATTCAGTAAGTCAAAAGGCCTCATATCAACTACATTGAGTAGGCTGACTTACAACATATTCTTGTAAAGATAAGTGTGATTGATTAACAATCTGATAAGAGCCAATCAAGAACAGAAACTTACTTAAAAAAGTGTTGTCCATCTTTAGTCTCCAGAAATTCCATGGACAGTGATCCATCCCAACGAGGCCAATGGGCTGACGGAGAAACAAGAATTGTTTTTCTATGGTTGACACTTCCACGTCTTCCACCACGCATCTGCCTCAAACTACCACCATTATTGCTATTCTCAAATGAATTCACAACTTTAGAACCAAAAATCCTCCGCAACTCATTTTCAGCCCTCAAAAATTTGGGATCCACCATTAGCAGGGGTAGTGTGCATTGTTTGACTGCATTTTCTCCAATTTTTGCATTTTGTGTTTTTGCTTTCATAAAACCAGACTGATTAAATGAAGGGTTTCTACAAATTGATAGAGTTTCTAGAGTAAGATCTAGAGGTTCTTTAGCTTTTTCAGCAGTAGAAGTTTGATCCTCCTTGCTCCTCTTCTTCTTCTTCTTCTTGTTTTTTCTACTAGATTTGTGATTAAATGACTGAAGCACCTCAACAGAACTCTTGACAAGAGAAGGCTCTTGTTCATCATCTTTTGTCAAGGTCCCATCAGCATCTTCCAGCTCATCTACCTAGAAATTTGGACATTCACCAATTACAATTAGTCCGAGATAATTGTAGGACAAATTTGAAAACTCAGTAGAAGAAGCATCAATTGTCAAAGCCAAAGAATGGAATCCATTCAAATAAGAAACTTAAATGTTAAGAGATTCTACATGTAGGACGCAGCCATAAACAACAACCATATGCAGAAGTAAAAGTTGACAGTTGAAATGTCTTGTCATTGTTCTTGCAAGTTTCCCTCGTAATCACTGTTATGAAGATTACTTGGCCTCGGGTTGGAATTTGGAAATACTATCCAACCTCCACCATAGAAACCCTTCCAACAAGGAGCTTGCATTCCTAATCCAGTAACATGACTACCAACTGTAGTATTATTAAAAAGAAAAGAAAATGGTCTATAACAGTAAAACTTTGTTAAAAGGAAAACAATTGGTAAGTTTAAAATCAACTGAGACTGCCCAATTGAAGGAAGAACAAAGCTCAAATAAACCTTATAAAAGGAAGGCAACCCCAAGAGAAAAACAGCATACGAGCAACTCCGATGCTCAATTGTAATTAATGAATAATTAAAAACAAATAAGTAAAAATTGTAAACATCCCAAAATTAGAAAATTTAGTGAGAAATTAGAAAATGTATTTGCAATTTATAAATAATAAAACCATGCACATATCATATCCACAATTAAGTATCATCAGCTATCAAGCATCTTTTTTTTCTCTAGAAAAAAGGTAAGGTAATTTTATTCCTGAAATAAACATACAACCAGAGAGGCATCAGGACAGACCTCCCCCACAAATACAGCATCATATGTCCCAAACACTAACTGAATTTAGAATCAGAAACATGTTTTGATTACTAAACTTAGATACAACTGATAACCAAGAAGCTAATTTAGCAACAATACAATGGATTAACACATCAGGACTTATAATTTGATTTCTAAAAACTCTGTTGTTTCTTTCTAACCAGATAGTACTGATCACAGCTGCTGGAATGGACCTCCAAATGAGTTTTCCTCTTTTAGATAAACCTGGAATATACCAGCTATGTAAGAGTTCCTGTATTGACCCTGGCATCACCCAACAAATGTCCATTGCTTGTAGGAAGTGGGACCATACCCTCCAAACCATGGTGCAATGAATACATAGATGATCAATGGACAACTCTTGCCCACATATCCCACAAGCTCAGGTCATCTAAGATGATTCTTCTTCTCATCAAGTTACTTCTTGTTAGACATTTCCCCAATTCTGAAGCCCAAGCTAAGAAATTGATTTTGGAGGGAGATGAAGGAATCCAGATTTGTTTAGAAGGAAAACCAGAATCCCCTCTAACAGCAAAACCATCCGCAAAGGATTTAACTGTAAACTTCCCATCGGTCTTCCATTTCCAGTTCCAATGATCGCTTGACTGGGGGTTAAAAGAGAAGGTGTTTAGGCAGTTAAGGAGATTCACTACTTCCCAATCCTGAAAAGCTCTACAAAATTTAGGGTTCCAAACTACTTCTCCCCTAATCAGCTCAAAGGGGTCTGCAGTTGTTGCCTCTTTGTTTTCAGCCACTGAGAATAAATGAGGTAATTTATCCTCTAATGTTATCTCAGCCAGCCATCTATCCTTCCAGAAACATATTCTACCACCATCTCCCACTTGAAAGCCCACCCCGTTGAGGAAACTAGGGAGCACTTTTCATAATAGCCTTCCAAAGAGAGCACCCATTGGATGGAAGATTAATAGCAGTCATCCATCCACCCAGTTGAGGACCATATTTAGCTGCAATGAGCTTTCTCCACCAGTTGTTTTCTTCCACTCTAAATCTCCAGATCCACTTCCTCATTATAGCTGTATTGAAAGTTCTCAATCTTCTCAGGCCCAAAGCACATGAATTCCGAGGAGCACAAATCTGATTCCAAGCCACCAAGTGGATTTTCTTCTCATCCTCCAAGCCTTTCAATAGAATATTTCTTTGTAATTTTCAATTCTCTTGGCCAGTTTGCTCAGGATACGAAAGAGGGAAAGGTAACAAGTGGAAAGATTTGTAAGTGCACTCTTGATCAAAGTCACTCTTCCCCCTTTTGATAGATACTTAGTCCTCCAAAGAGCCAGTTTTCTCTCCACTCTTTCCAAGACAGGCTCCCAAATTGTTGCAGATGAGCATTTTGCACCCAGTGGTAATCCAAGATAGTTAATAGGAAGATTGTCCACTAGATCCTCTGCCCACCTTTCCAGATCCTCAATTCTGCCCACTGGAATGACAGAAGATTTCCTTAAATTCACCCTCAGCCCAGTTACCACCTCAAACCAGCTGAAAACCCCAACTATAAGTTTCTAATTGCATGAAGGAAGCATCAATGAAACAGAGGGCGTCATCAGCAAAGTGAAGGACATTGACCCTCTCATAGGGGTGTCAATTGGACTGGATTTGGTCCAATCTGATCCAGTCCAATGTGAGTCCGTTACAAATAGACCAGGTCCAATCCAATCCAATGAATATTTTGGACCATTTTGGGCCGGTCCAATTCAACTCAAACCCGGTCCATTGACACCTATATACTTATCTTATATTGACGGACCAGATATTGGCTTAATCCAACACCGATGGACCAGGTCCAATCCAATCTAATAAATATTTTGGACCTTGGTCCAACCCAATATGTCTTGTTGGTCCGCCCAATCCGTCCAAATTGATTTTGCACTGGACGGGAGCGAGTCCAAAACCAGTCCATTGACACCCTTACCCTTTCACCACCAGGAATTGTTTCAAAGCCCACCCAGATGTCTGTCTAACCCGTACTATAGATGAATTGGGTAAGGACCACCATTACACAGAGAAATAATAGCAGTGACAGGGGGTCACCTTGACAAATGCCTCTTGAATTTTTTATTAAAACGGAATTTTGGGGAGGAAATATATACCTTCATCCTATTCCTCCACTTCTTACCAAAGTTCAGTTTTTCAAGGATGGAATTCAAACAGCACCAGTTTACATGATCGTAAGCTTTCTCAAGATCTACTTTACACAGAAACCCTGGTCCCCCCCACCTCCTTCTAGAGTCAACTACTTCATTTGCCACCAAAATGTCGTCCAGAATTTCTCTTCCCCAAACAAATGCACATTTTTTTATCAGTGCCCAAACAAACGCACATTGATTTTCTGAAATTACACTTTCCAACACCTTTTTCAGTCTCTATGTCAGCACCTTTGTAAGAAGTTTGTAAAAGCTAGTCAGTAAGCTTATCAGTTTGAAGTCTATGAGGTTTGTTGCCCCTTCCACCTTTGGAATCAGTTTAATGAAAGTAGCATTCAAACTCTTAACCAACAATGCAGATTCACGAAATTCTTGGAAAGCCTTTAAAATATCATTCCAAATAACATCCCAACACCTTTTATAGAATAAATTTGTTAGGCCATCAGGCTCTGAAGACTTATTTGCATCCATCTTCTTTACAGCTTCCCAAATTTCTTCTTCAAAAAAAGGTTTCTCCATCTCCCTCTTCTGATTCTCATTTAGGGTCTTGAACTGCATCCCATCCGGAAGAGGTCAACGCTGCCAAGGTTCCATGAACAATGTTTTGTAAAAGTTGGTGGCAATTGTTTGAATATTAATCAGCTGCTCCCCTATCTGCCCTACATGTTCCAACCTGCTAATCTTATTTAGCCGGTATCGAGCATTAGCTATCAATGCATCACTTGCAAAGTTGCAAATCAAAATTTTAGAATAAACAATTCACTTAAATTGCATAAATAAAGGATGGTTTTGGAGTAGGGAGCGAAAAAGAGGGGAGTGTTGTCAGGGGGAAGATCTAGAGGTCATGGAAATTTGAGCGTTTCCAGTGGATCTGAGAAACTGGTTAGGGGGAGATTTTTGCAAAAAAAAAAACCCGGTCAAAAGACCAGAGAAGTGAAATGGAGTCTTATGCAGACATGACCAGACTACCAACTTGGTCAAAGGAGGGTAAGGTGTGCTAAAGGCAGGGAAAGAGTGTTTACCTAATCACAGACGATAGGGGAGAGAGCAAAAGAAAACAGTTTATAGAAGCTTGTCTGGTAGGGGTTGTGGTGATGCCGCTCTCGGTTGAGGAGTTTCAGGTGTGAGCCTCGAGAAATTGGGGTTTAACATTGGAGGCTAAGGTGAGAAGGACAGTGAAGAATAAATTTCTTTTCATCCTACCTTCAACAGCAGAAGCTAGAAGGATCTTAAATTCAGGAGCAAGAAATGTTGGAGGAGCTCTACTTCATTTATGTACATGGGATGATGGGAAGATACTAAGGGTTGTTAGTGAATGGAAACTGAGCCCTCAGAGTCATACTAGTTAAAAACTTTTGGACTTCCAATTCACCTGTGGAGTGAAGGTTTGGTGAGGAAAATCGGAGACCTGTGTGGGGGCTACTTAGAATCAGATGATTCTGATGAAGCAAGTCAAATGATCGAATAGGTGCGGGTAAGAGTGAAATGAAGAGGCTGCCCACCGGCAGCCGTTAATGTGGTAGATGGAGAGAAGGTTTATGTGGTCGCAATATGGGCTGAAATCACACCACAAATTGCAGCTCCAGCGACGATTTCAAGGAAGCAATAGAACCAGTTAATTAGTGGGCGTTTAAGGTGTTAAGGGGAGAATGTATTGGCAAAGAGGTTCTAAGAAAGATAAAGGGTAAAGAAGTAATTATTGTACAAGAAGAAGAGAGGAGAGAAGAGACAAGAGGATTGAGAGCCCCCAAAAGATACTGCAGGTCAGCGCAGTATGTTATATTTATACTAGGGCAACAACAACTAAACAAAAAGAGGAGTAAAAGTACAATAGTACCCCTGTGGTACTATACATATGAAAAATAACATTTGTTAACACTCCCCCTCAAATTGGAGCATAGATATCAATCATGCCCAACTTGTCACATAAATTATGATGTCTTGAGTGGTGTAGTTCTTTTGTAAAGATGTCTGCAAGTTGATCCTCAGAGCTGACATAGGGAGTACACACTTCGCCTATGACGACTCTCTCTGTAAAAT